CAAATTGACTCACTTCTGGTAATTTTCTGCCTTCTAAAGTATTGGCTAAATTGGGAGTCTCCTGGGAAAACTAATAATGTTGTGCTAACTCAGTGTCCCAGATATATAAAACATTATGAGTGCTTCTGAAGTGCTTTGGAAACCTTAGTTGTGAGGTTACCTCTGAATGCTTGGCATGAGTATTGTTATCCCTGTTTCATATTCCACATGTCACTCTTACACATGAGAATAATTCTCTAAAAGAGTAGTAAGTGTGTACATTTCCAACTGGGTCATGGATCTGAATCTTTCTAATTTCACAGTTACCCCCCACCCAAATACCCAGCTTCTAAGTCATGGTTTATGACATTCAGTTTTATTTATTGTCCATTATGCATCCCTAATCTGAATGATTTTGTTCTTGCAAGTTGCTTTTTCACATGCTTACCCTTAAGGATGCAGTTAGCGTATTCCTCACCAAAGTAACAAATCAGGGTTTAAATCAGTGTTCAGTTTTTCATAAACAAGAATATCCATCCATCCACTCCCCTTGTATCACACTAGATCAGTTATGGAAACTTTTGTATTAACCTTTGCCAGTTTGAAAGCTCTTTCTTTTCTATATGACAACAAGCATTGTTAAGAGCCTTGGGATCTCTCTCCTAACGCATCATAAAACTCTTTCAAAGCTACTCTTGTGTAAATGACATGTTTGAAAGGCAAGAAAGTTAAGATGCAATGCTGCTGTCTTGTAATGAAACCCAAAACAGGATGAGGCCAAGGTCTTTCATATGTACAAGCTGTCAGGGCACTTGGACCCTATTTCTGACTCTGCCATAAGCTTCCAGGGTGACCTTTACTTCCACGTGCCTGTATCTGTTGGCTTGTAAAATAATAATAACAGCAGTCATGCTGAAGGTTGTGAGGCTTCCTCAGTAATTAGGATATCAAAGTACATTTCAAACACTCATTAATGCTTTTACAGGTCAAATACCTTATCACGATCATGTTAATAGATTGTCATGCATTTATAAACAACTCATTTAATATAGGGGTATTTGATTCCAGAAAATGTCTCCCATGTTGTTCTCCTAATTAAGTTATTTGGGGGGATCGACGAGAGCCACTTCCACATAGTGATCCTTGGGAATGTCTCTGATGGCCAAGAGCTCCCGAACTGACAAAAATGCCAAAGTGCATAAAGGTATGGACACCGCTTTTGTCACATACAAAAGAAGATGTTATTTGGGCCTCACAGTCTTTTTTTTTTTGCTTAAAAAATAGCTTTGTAGCTTTTCCCATTTTTTTAAAGGCACATGAGCTAGACCTTTGACATTCAGGGAATGGCTAATTGACTTTGGGGGCGTATAACTGATACTATAAAAATATCTGGACACTGTAGGATGGTTATGCTTTAGGGCTGTGCGACGCTTCGGGTGCGGATTTGATTTGGAGGAGATTTGCCCCGATTCGGTGGCCAAATCTCCGAATCCAAATTGAATTAGGAAACCAATTAAAAGGTCCAGATTGATTCAAAGCTCTCCGATTCAAAGCTCTCCGAATTGGAGAGGTTTAGTGATTCGGGGAGTCCCTGCTTGCTGCAGCAAGGAGCTAAACCCAGACTCCGAGCTGA